CCGGTACCAAAAAAAAAAAGAGTTGGTTCACTTTTATCCTTCAAAGAAAAGAAATTTTTAATTTTTGTATTATTATGAAATCATAAAGTTAAACATAGTCACAGTGCTTCAACTAATTACTATCAGTTATTATCTCTATCAATTCTCAAACCTCTTTATCTTTGGTCAGCGGAAGCCTCCTCACCTTGGTTCTCCGACCCCTTCCCACCTAAGGAGGAATGAGAGGACACAAAGTACAAACCAGAACGGTTAAGAGGCGCCTGAGAAGATGTTTATGGGATTGCTGGATGGTCACAAATTCCTTGCAAATGAAAGACAGAGAGATCAACGTGAACACATCCTTAGACATACGAAAAAAATCCACAACTTCATTTTGCAGATTGCAGTGTGAAACTTTAAATAATATTGCTATAATTTTCAGTACTTTCCTTTTGTATGCATAGCTAAAAGTATTACTACTTAATATAAAAAATATTGCTAGGAAATTGAGAATTTTTGATTATATTTTTTTATTTTTTGGTTTTTTGAGACAGTCCCTCGCTATGCAGTCAGGCTGGCCTTGAAGTTACTATGTAGCCCAGGCTGGCCTCCACCTTTTGGCAATCTTCCTGCCTCAGCCTCCTAAGTGCTAGGATCACAGGCATGTGCCACCATGCCTGGCCCTGCATATTTGATTGTAGAAATAAATATTTTTTTTACCTTCTTTGAGGAGGAATCATTCAACTCTTTTGGGCCTCAATTTATTCATTGGTAAAAGCAAGTCAATTAGACTAGACATTTTCTAAGATTTCTTCTAGACTAAGAATGTCATTATTCCAAGTCTTAGAACTTATTTCAAAATAAAGTTTGCAATGTTCACTGTGAAACATAGCATTTAATTCTAAAGTGTCTTAATATATTTATATTAATTAAATAATTTGTAGATGTCAGAAAATGAATTTTTTCAAATGTATTTATTTGTAAGTTGCCTTTAGAAAATAATGTTGGTTTGGGAAGAGAGCAAACAGAGTCAAAGTAAAATTTTTATACTTCATGTCCCAAAAGAAGACAGATGTCCCCTTTAAGATATTTATCCCAGGGCCGAGGATTTAGCTCAGTGGTTTCACTGCCTGCTGCACAAGCGCAAGGACCTGAGTTTGATCCCCGGTACCCCCCCCTAAAAGATATTTATCCCAAATCCAAGTCAGAGTGACTCTTGGGTTAGAGCGAGTCCTTTCCTTGAGTAATCTTACCAACAAGGCAAAGGTTGAAGTTGATGTTTGGGAAAAGACACGTTCGCACTATTGTAACTGCTATGAAGGTACAGGATTAAATTTTGAGGCTTTGTTCGTGAACCCTGGAAACCAAGCTTGTTTTGTGAAGAACCTGATGAGGAACAAAAGCCTTTCCTGGCCAAGCTGCTGCCCCAGTGCTGCTGAGTGCACATGGCTGCAGCATGGTCTCTGCTGGGCCCACGCTCTGGTTCCCAAATAAAAGTCCCCCAGAAAACCTCTGGGGTATGTGGACCTGGAAACTGAAAAGCGGATTATGATTACAACAGGCTATACAGACGTAGATTTAGTCATTGTTTATCCTGTGCTCATTCTTGGAAGATTTTTTAAACTATGGTTTTTAATGAGAAGGTCCTGGAAATCAGAACGAGCCTTACCATCCAGCTTGTCTTTAAAGCCAAGAAGGGACTTGTGCATCATAAAGAAAGGCAGCCCGGGCCACTGGGCTTTGGAAACAGCACAATGGCACCCCGAATTGCACCCCAGGCCACCCGACTGCAGCCCCGCTGCCAAGAAGAGTTCTGCATCCTGGTTCATCTTTGGGGAGCTGCCCGCCTCAGCCACTGCTCCCAGGGCGGTCCTGTGCCTGCCGTCCAGCCCCATTCCTCCCTCACCCCTGCTCCCTGGCGCTGTTAACAGAAACTACTCACACCATGTGAGAAATCCAAGTATAGAGAAGGAGCACAATAACGAGAGACAATAGGAAGTGTGGAGACAGAGCTTTCTCAAGTGGGAGGGGATCAATAGATGGAGGAAGGGAGGGAATAAAAGGCGTCAGGTGGTGTTAAGTACAGGGACCTACGCCTTGGGACGAATGTAAAGATTCTGTGCTGCAAACACACATTAACAAAAGGAGAATCTAAAGGACACCAACAGGTGTTAATGCCACCGACCGCTGCAGGGCTGTTACCTCTGCTCTCTCCCCGCCCACCCGCCCGCGGGGACCCTGTCCTGATGTCCCCACAACCTTGGCGGGTGGCTCGGGGGAACAGGAAACAGGAAGCGCACCTGAGGGCCAGGCGATGTACAGAGCCAGAGGACGGCAGCCTCGGGCCCCTGCGGACTGGGGGACAACGGCCAGGCCAGGAGCAGGCCTGATCTCACCTTCAGGGTAAGGGCCGAGGTGCTGAACTTGCACCCTCTACCAGTGAGAAAGCGGCACAGCGTGGGGACTTCTTGTGTTCCGACAGCATCCCACGCTTTCCCGGGAACCCTGCGGGGACACATGGGTGAGCGACTCCGAGGTTCCCACGCCCAGGGGAGCAGAGCCAGAGAGGGCGGTGCTGAAGGTGAGGCAGTGGGGCCCCGCCCCGCCCCGCCCCGCCCCGCCCCGCCCCGCTCCCGGGCATCAGCGTCCCGCGTCCTAGGGTCAGCAGCACACGGCCGGCCGCGCATCTGTGGGTGGAAAGGGCGTAGTGGGGGTCGAGCCGAGCACGTCCCGTCCAGGACGCACCGTGTCACTTCCTCTCCCACCAGCTCTCGGGCTTTGCCGCGGGTGCCGCTCGGCCACAGTGCTGCGGTGTGACACAGGGCCGAGACGGTTTTAGACGCCCGACCTCAAGCAGGCATGGCTCCCACGGCCGGCAGATCTTCCGGTCTTGGCTGTCGTCGCTCGTGTCTGGGCTGGCTGCTGAGACTGGACACCTCGGCTGTTCCCCGCGTCTCTCACCCTCCCTGAGGACCCCAGCCCCTCCTGTTCTCCACCCGTACCCAGTCAGAAGCGCAGAAGGAGACGCGGTCGCCCGCAGTCTGCTCCCATCACACTGCTTAGCAAGCGAAGTTAGCCCGGCCACGAGGCCAAGCTCAGAGTCAAAAGGCGAAGCAGAGGACTCTGCACGGGCAGCGCACAACTGGACAGGAGGCGGAGAGGGAGGAGGAAGCGGTTTCTGGCCTCTCCGCACACACGCACGGGAAGCCCGGACCGTGTTTGCAGGCGGCTCGCAGGTTGCTGTGACAGCAGGCTGAACACTGTGCTCCTGCCTCGCCGGAGCTGGCTCCGGGGGAGCACAGAGGAGCAGCTTCCCTAGGGAGCTTCAGACCACGCACTTCTGCTCCGTGAAGGACAGCAGGCCTGAGTGAAGAACTGGTCTTGGCGCCTTAGGCAGCCACTCAGAGGTATGGAAGGAGCAGGACTGGATCAGGAAGAGACCCAGGGACGGGCAGGTGGACACAACTGAAAGGACTGCATGGAGTGCAGTCCCGCACATGGGAAGCTGTATGAGTCTGCTTGGTGTTGCTGCAGCAGAACACGCGATGCTGGGTCTTTATAAAGAAGAAAGGTTCCTGAGGCTCAAGGCTACGGCAGCCCAGGCATGTGGCTGCCTCACACTGAGCCCCACCGTGGAGATGGGGCCTGGTGCAAGGGGCGGCCTGGCCACGTACCAAGCAGTCCTGCAAGAGCTGTCTTTCGGCCCAGAACTCACTAGGGGCAAAGCCCGTCACCCAGTAACCTCCCACCAGGCCCATTCTCAGGGTCTGCTCCCAACACCAGGCCCTGGGAAGCACGGCCCTAGCACACACAGAGCCCGTCCGATCTGCAGGCGATGCCAGTGAGGACCCCTTGCCAGGCGCAGGCTGGGCGCACAGGCGGCTCCTCCAGCAGCCAGTAGCCCGCTGAGGAGCAGTCGGGGCGGACGGAGGCCACTGTGGCCGGAAGCACGCACTCACACCCCCACGCTAACACCCGGAAGGAGCAGGACCACACTCAGTAAGCCCTGGAGGGACTGACCGGCCCGGAGCATGTTATCTGCCTCAGATTCCTTCCACTTTGGAAGAGGAAGCAATTCTTCTGCTGGGTTATTACTCCGAGCTCGAGCTCGGCCGGGGAGTCCCAGTGCCCAGGCCCGGCGGCTTCACAGTTCCCACCAGCAGCTCAGGCGCGGCCTGCGCTTCCTCCTCCCGCCACCCACCGGGCCTGGCCTGGCCTGGCGCGGCTCAGAGGCTGCCTGGGAGCAGGGCTGTTCTCGAGTGCGAGTGCGGACAGGCAGCCGACGTCCTGAGGACAGCAGAGACACAGCGGATCAAAGCCCAAAAGAAAAAGACGAAAAATAGCTGAGGGGGAGGATGGGCCGCTCCAACCTCGCGGCCTAGATCAGCTGCATTCTGGGGAGGAAGAAGAAAGAGCCCAGGAGGGAGGTGCAGGGAGGCGGTGCCGAGTGCCCTTTGGGCCGTGGGCTCAGCGGTGGCCTCGCCTTAGGCCGAGGTGACAGAGACGCCCCCGTGGGCCCAGGTGGGCGGGCGGCCGGCCGGGCGAGGGCAGCCAGCAGCCAGCACTTCCGCCCGTGTTCCTGTGAGCTCTGTGTCCTCTGCGGGCTGACACCACAGTGAAGCGGCCGCTCCGAGTCCCGCGCCAGGGTTGATTTGGGGTCGGCTCTCCCAGGGGAAGCCTGCCCGGAGGGGTGGGGGCCGGAAACTGCTTAGCCAGGGCTCCAGGGGTTAGGTGGATGATTCCGGCCGCAAGCTTCTCAGGTCTGGGGTGCAGGACCCAAATGGTAACCTAGGTAATGCAGCTTTAGGGAGCCCTCCGGTTTTCCTGCTGCCGGATCAGCTCACGGATGATGACATCCGGAATCCTTCCGCGAGCCTCCACTTTGAGGAGACCTAAACCAAGAGGAGCACTGTCTCTCACTCTGCTCAGTGTGAGACCCAATACCCAACACCAGCAACTGGAGGACAGGTTTGTTTCAGGGCACAGGGGGCTGGCAGCGGGGCTGCTCATGGCAGGGCGCGCAGGAAGCAGAGCCAGGGGGCGCGGTCAGGGAGAGGCGCTGCCAGGTCACGCCCACAGACACGCCCCTTCTGACTGGACCCCACCTCCTGACAGCAAGAGGGCGGCAGCATCCCACAATCCAATCACCGAACAGGCCCTGCCTCCGAGTGGGTTTGGGGCGACACCCAGAGATAAACCATCACAGATACCATTAATCAAATGCATTTAGGTATCTTCCCACCTAAGTACTCATAGGTTTTCTACACTAAGTAGGAAGAATTATGTGCAAGGTGGGGTGAGAAGAACATTTTAACTGTGCAAATCCAATTATTTTTGCTTAGGCAATGTAAGGGAGGTGATGAGAACGACTCTTGCTCATTCTAAACTACACTGTAAATGCCTTCAACATTTCTATTTGATACTAAATATGAAGATATCTGACTGGTAATATATGAAGCACTGATCAAGCGTGTATGCTAATAAAAACTTCCAGGTCTCCTATTTCAAGGTGTCACAGAAAATTTCCATCCAGTATTACTTTCTGCCAGGAATTTAAGAGTTCTCCATAGAAATATACATAATTGCTGGGCGTGGTGCAGGCCTGTAATCCCAACACGGGGAGGCTGAGGCAGGAGGATCACTCCTTCCAGTTCAAGGCCAGCCTAGGCTACATAGTGAGTTCAAGACTAGTCTGGACAACATAGTGAGACCTTGTCTCAAGAAACAAAACAAAACAAAAAAGTACATATTTCACACTACAGCTTTCAAAAATTGTATAATTCATTTATTTTTGCAATGAGTCTACTTTTGATTTCCAAACTCACAGGAGCTCCATGTTGGGGAGCCACTCGGACCCCGAACACCCCATCTTGGTACTGAGGCACTCACTGCAGTCCAGGTTCTTCTGTTTTTCATTTCGGAGCCCTCTGCTGTGGTAACGAGAGGCACTGGGAAGCTATAAATGCTTCATTGTAACAGCGGAAGCGTGGTGGGGGATGCAAGGCCATTTGACTCCTCCGGATGGAGAGAGTTCAGGCTCCGAGGGAGGCGCTCACATGTGGCGGCTCAGTCGCTGAAGGACTCGCTGTCTGAGCTCTCTCCCATGGTCCTCTCGCTGCCGCCGTCAGGCACGGTTGCGTCCGGCCTCCTGAAAGAGAAGGGAAACAGTCCTGGGGTTTTCCCAGCTGAAGAAAGGCACTCAGCACCTGCGCTTAGGTTCCCCTTGGGGCAGCGGCCAGGAAGCCGGCCAGCTGCGCCCCTCACGGAGGGCCCCGTGCGCGCTCGCCCGGACTGGACCGCGGCGACTGGGTCCTTCGGTCTCCGCCAGCCTGACGGTGAAGCTACTTCAGCACCTCTGCTGCTCACTGCCACGCAGATCCAGCTCCAGGCGGAGGCCGGCATGACCAGGGCGAAGGCCGGCTGCCCCAGCAGACACAGTGCTGAGAAAGGCGAGGGGGAAACGGAAGGAAAAGGAAAGCCCTGTGTTCAGGAACGCTGCAAGGAGAAACTTAGAGACGGGGAAGAGTTCCGGAATGGCTACTACAAAACAGGCAACTGCTGGATGTGGTGGGGCATACCTTATGTAATCTCAGCACTGGGGAGGCTGAAGCAGGGGGCTCTCTGTGAGTTCAAGGCCAGCCTGGGCTACATAGCGAGACCCTGTCTCAAAAAGCCTAAATACATACAGAAACTGGCTGGAAATTTAGCAGAGGAGAAAAGTGCTTGGTCAAGGAAGGTTCTTAATATTCGTGGAATGTCCTCACTTTGAAGTTTGACCTCTAGATGAATATAAAAAGGTATGAGTTAGTAAAAATAGCAGCAGCGCATGATCTCCCAGGTACAGCAGGGAGACGTAACAGTGGTCAAGCCCAGCGTGCACACGTGTGCTGCCGCGAGCCAGGCTGAAGGGTGACGGTGCCATCGCACTGCCTCGGGAATCACCAGCTCATCACAGCGGCGCCACCGCTCAGCCTCTAGTCTCTTGCGGAGAAAGGAAACTGGCAAGCCAAGCATAGTTTGGGGGAAGGGCAGAGGAAATGTTAGAATAATACCGCTGCTGTGTCCTAGTAATTAAAAACAATTAAAGACTTAATTTCTGCCTCAGGCCCTGGGATCTTATTAAAGATTTAGGACACTCAGTAAGTAGAATTGTTACTTAAAATGTATAGTCTAGGGCCGGGGATTTAGCTCAGTGGTTTTGCTGCCTGCTGCACAAGCGCAAGGACCCGAGTTCGATCCCCAAGACCAAAAAAAAAGTATAGTCTACTAGTTACTCAAAGAATGGCTTCCATATTTTCGTGTATCTGACAGTGTCACTAAACATGGGGACAAAAGGCTGCTCCCTGTCTCTGGATTGGCCTGTGCTGTACGCTTTGCCTTGCCGGAGGGAGCTCCTAGGCGCTGGGCCTGGGGTCAGCTTCTCTCACCCACAGGTACCGTCCCCATCACACCCCATCAGGCCCGCACCGCCCGCCTCTTCTGTTAGGAAAACACTATCCGAGCATCTGTGTACGGCTTCCCTGTGAGTGTTTCTGAGGCTCGCCTGCACCTGCAGTCTCCCGGCAGCCCTGCTGGGCTTGTGAGGACCTGCCAGCTGGTTCCACACTCAGCTCTGCAGCCTGTGGGGGCTCCGGCTTCCACATCCTCACCCCCTCACCCGCTATCTGTCCTCAGTTTGCTTGTTCTGCTACTGCGGTAAAATACACACGGCATAACATTTACCAGCTTCCCTGCTTTTTCTTTTGTGTGTGTATGTGCGGGCGTTACCTTGTGTTAGTGCACACGCTAGGGAAGTGCATCCCCACAGAGTTACATGCCCAGCCCCATCGTCACTGTTTAAAGCACACAATCCGTCATGCTGAGCGCACTCAGCAGCGCTAGGTAGAAAGTGTACACCCATCACCACTGCCCACCCAGAGCTCCTATCTTGCAAACCGAAACTCCACCTGTCAAACAATATTCCCTCCTCTCTGGGGCCTGGCAGCCACTATTCCTTCTATGGGCACGAGCCAGAGTGCCACAGATACTGGAGCAAAGCGAAGTCATACATTTCTCCCTTTGTGATGGACTTATTTCCTTTAGTATTATGCCCCAAAGGGCCATCCATGTTTTAGCATGCATCAGAACTGCCCTCCTTTTCAAGGCTAAATACTATTCCCTTCTTTATATACCAGAACTTACTGATCCCTTCCTCTCTCAGGGGACACTGGCGTGCTTCCACGCTTTGGCGACTGTGAATAATGCTGAACACGAGCATACAAAGATCTCTCTGAGATCTCACTTGTGGTTCCTTTGGGATGCACCTCAGAGAGAAGTGAATTGCTGGATGACATAACAATCCTATTTTTAATTTTTTGAGGAACAACCACAGTGTTTTCCACAGCAGATGCATCATTTATATTCCTGTCAACAGTGAACAGAGTTCTGAATTCCAGTACTGGTTTTGTCTACCCTCACTCATTGTCAAATAAACAAGGCTATTTTGGATGGAAATTGCCAAGAGAACAAAAAGTATGCACTAGTTCTCTTGGGTATCAAAGGAGAGAAACCTCAAGAAACCACAAGGAGCGAATGAGGCGTATGGCGAAGCACCTCCCAAGTTAAAACGCCTTACACTGATGTTCATAGCAATCATAGAACTCGGAGCAACAGCATTGCTTCCGCTGGATCCCTCTGTTCAGGCGACACAGAAACGTGGGTCTTTCCGCTCCGATCAAAATGTTTACTCCATCCTGCCCACCCCCCCGGATCTTTCATTTTCACTTGTTATTTGGGGAAAGGAGTTTTCAGAAGCGTTTGAAAAGATTATTACCTTCAAACTATGGGCCTGCAGTTCAGCTTCTGCAAACCCAAAGAGCACACTCCCCGCTGAGCTCCAGATAGGCTTCTAATAGTGCGGGGTCTTACTATTTTAAATATATAAAGACATCACTAAAGTACATCAACGAGGTGCATAAAATACATAAATCATAACTATTCACAATGTTTCATGTAGAGTTTTAAAAATCTCAATATTGACTGATTATAAAAAAAACATCAGGTTGGCAGCTACATTTTATGAAGCATATATACATAACTTGTGACATCAAGATTCTTACTAAAATTCTTAATGTAAGCAAATTTTTAAAAAGTTTAAATTTAAACTCATTTATCTTAAAAAACAGAACTTTTTGAAGAAGCTGCTAGGTTGACCTCAACCAAAAATGAGTCAAAATTCAGAAAGAGTATAAGGTTAAAATACATATAAATCAGTTTTGTTTTTCTTTTAAAACTTAACAATAGGTTTATATTTAATACAATACTGTACTTCTCGGTGAATACTGATTTCACTCAATATTAAAGGTTTTAAAAAATTATAGTAAAATTTTTTCCCATTTCAATGTCAATATAAAGAGTTTTATAAAAAATTAAATCTTTTCATTTTCTTCATTCCAATATTAGATACACTGAATATATTTTTTCTAAACTTTCTCCCCGAGAGATAAAAATTTCAACTTTTGGCTATTTGATATCTAAGTATAATGTTAATTTGCAAAATAAAATAGAAATCTGAAAACATGGAGCAAAAGACTCCTCAACATTTCATCTTACACCTTTGACCTGCTTTCTAAGTAACAAACTATAGGCGGCATTTTCCCCAACTTCCACGTAAACTTGACCCCAAAGCCCCAGAGCTCCTCTGAGAGCAAGGTTATGAGATGCAGCAGCACTGGCTGGCACTGCCCTGCCAGCGGTGGTGACAGGCTCCAGGGGCCCCACCCTGGCCGGCCAGGTGACCCTGAGGTAATGGGTCAGGAGCACTGCCGGTGGCTCTGCCAGAAGACAGTGTGGGCTGGGCCGTTCCTGGATCTCCTCCCTGGTCTTGGCACCACCTGGCGGTCCCATCCCATCTGGGATGCTTCTCAGCAGTCACAGACACACGCTTGGACCCACCCGGGGAGATCCGGAGATCCAGGTGGCCCAGTGCTCGAGAGACTCCTTGGAGCCACCTGAGGGCTTCTTAAAACGGTGATGCTGAATGGATTCTTGGAGAATAAGACACTGGCCAGGCAGTGAGATGTGGGAAGGGGGTTCTACAGGCAGCAGGGAAAACATTTAAAGACACCCAAGAGAACAGGAAGTTGATTCCCACAGAGAACTCCATGCAGTCTGCTGTGGCTGCAGGACACAGGCTCGTGACGCTCAGGTGTCAGGCTACGTGTGAAGCGGTGGACAGAACAGGCAGCCGGAAGCAGGAATGAGGCGTGAACATACCCCCTGGCTTTAGTGCATGGCTTGGAAGAGAACTAATCAGAACTCCTGTACTGAGGCAGGACGGGTCGGAAAGAGGGTAGAAGCAGTGGTGATTTCCGGTTTGTGTATGAATCTCGGGTTGAATTAAGGGATTCTGAGGTTGAGCCTGGACAGGAATGAAAAAAGCCAGTAGCAGGCTGAGGCTGGATACCCCACATACGCTGCCTTCTAGGGCACTGGCTTTCCATTCATTATGTTTTCTCTAGGGGGAAACGTTACCATTGTAAGGGTCATCTTAGCCCTCTGGGAGTCCACCGAGTATGTCCACAAGAAAGGTCAAAGGCAAATACAAATAGATCCCAGTGAGTACCAACACTGGACTAAGTCAATGTCCAACGCACATTAAAATACATGTCACAATCCACTGGTTTTCAGGTGTCAGAGACAGTTTCCAGAACCAATGTCAAACATGCCAGAGATGCCTCAGCTCCAGCTCCTGAGCCAGGGCAGTCACTCCAACCATCTGCTTCCTGGAAACATGGCACATGCATGTCGGTGTTGGAGCTCTGTTCTCGCTGACTTCAACAATGTCCTTATCTTATTCTGTGTTTTGGAGGATAAGGTATGAGAAAAACCTTTCATGGTGCTTCACCTCCCTTTGTGAAGGGCGGGGCCGAGAGATACTCCAAAGCATAGCACTAGTTCAGCATGAACGACTGGACAACTCCAGGCCACCTGGAACCCCGGACAGAAAGACTCTGGACAAGCATCTAAGGCACTTGCAAGACAGAACAGTTCTGAGGAAACTATTACGACTCACTGTACCCAGGGTGAACCATGTAGCCAGATTTGTTTGGAGTGCAATGAATTATCAAAGTTCTAAGCTACTGTTTTTTAGCATTTCTCAAAAAATATTTTATAAAACTCATACTGTTATCTAGCTTCACAACCATTAATGTGCACCTAGGATAATTTTTTGCTCTGTTTATTTCTCAATCTGGCTTAACTTAGGTCACGATAGAATAAATTTTCTATACAATGAAATCTAAAGTGAAATGTTGGTAGATAATACAGTGCTCCTTCGAAAAAGGTAGCATGAGAAAAAAGACTGCCATAGCATCCTGGATCCTTAGGGTACCTGGATTCATCACTGATCCTACTGAAACTGCTCTTAGAATGTGTAAGAGCTGGTGTTAGTGGCACAGAGTATTTTAAATGTAGACATTATTTATGAAGATGGCTTCGTCAAATATAAAATACTATACAGGAAAAAAGAGCGTGAAGTATTTTTATTATAACTGATATATTCGATATCTTGACAGGAATCCAATTAGAAAAATTACTCACTCAAGCAGATCTGGGTCTAGTCCTTCTGATATCATTTTGTTTCTTATCGCCATCACCGGAACTCCCTAAGTAAAAGAGGTAAGATAGCAAGTCAGCCATTAGAAACGCCTCCTTCACTCTGTCTCCACGTACCCCTAACACAAGACTTTAGATGCCTCATTATTGAAAATCGTTACTTTGCTTTTATGTCAGTAAGTGCAAAGCACGTGAATAATGTAAGCTTCCACTGTACACTGACTTAATGGAATCACTGCTATCCAATACCACACAGGTCCAAATTAAATTCTTTAAGGTTCTTCATTACTAATTCTGCTGTACAGAAACCAGAGGTCACATTCTGTCTCTCACACTACTAAAGAAAGAAAACACTGGTAACTGAAGTGATTAAAACACTAGCTGGAGCAATACAGTGAAGTTAGCTATGCAAATGAGTGTCTCTTCAAATAAAAATAAAGATTTCAGAGCTAATCCTAACAAACATAGCCATGTTAATGTTCTTTTATAAGCAAACGGTCCTGCTCCACTTGGATACCACTTGGGCACAGAGACCAAACAGAATTCAAGGACCCTCTGGTACTGCATTGTACACCTTCCCAGCACCAATTCCAACACGAAGATACCAACACGAAGCAATGACGAACGCAGAAGTGTACTGAGTTGCAAAAATATTCAGAGTGTGTGAATTTTAGCATTCAAGTAAAGAGTATGAAAACACTAAGGAGTCATGAGATATAAATACAGATTTACTTGAAAAGAAAACTCATAAAGGATAAATAGCAGTGCTCTAGGGGGAAAAGATACAACCTCAAGTCCCTGTCAACACCTCCTCTGCACCGTCTCCATGGATGCAGACCCTAATTTGACGGCTTAGATTTGAGGGCTTGGATGACATCATCCTGACACCTAGGAGGGTCATGGGGTCAGACCGCCGCCTCACCACCTCCTCAGCTCGGGCGGCAGAGGGAGCAGGCCATCCATCGGGGCAAAGCCAGCCACTCGGCACTGTGCCTGCCCTCTTCCGGCCTGCCCCTCTCACACACGACAGCATGGTGGCTCCTGAGGTGGCGCTGTTCCGGCACCCAGCTAAGGCTCCTTTGCAGTTGTCCCTCGAGTTTCCTGGCCTCAGGTACCCTCAGGGTGGCTCGAAGCAAGTGTCCTGTGGTCAGTGGCAGAAGTCTGCTCCCACAACCCTGCACCTCAGTGTCCCACGTCACGGTGACAGCAGAGGCCTGTGCTCGGGGCAACGCTAGATTCGGGCCGTCGGAGTGCTTGGGGACGCAATCACCCGGAGGTGATCTTTGGGCTGACTCTGCAAGGTGGGTAGGAGTTTGCTTAAAGTGAAAAACACAGACCCAGAAATGTACAGGTCTCTAAACCATCTGTTGTATGTAATACACTTGTCTCATTTTTTTTTAAAGAATAAGTACGTGTTTGTCCAGCTATTCCTCCCCTCCAAAATTCAGATTTTATATTACATTTCCTACTAAAATCTGAGTTTAAGTCCAGGCAAGCATAAGAACAAACATGAAAGCCAAATTCAACATGAAAGCCTTCAAGGTTAAGGACCTTATATTTTTTACAGAAATATTGCAGATCTTGCCAAATTAAGATAGGTCATCACTAACCATAATCTTCATCTCTCTAAATCAGAAAATTTTATTTCAAGAGAATTCATCCTCATTTACTTTAAAAATGTTCAGGAAAGATGATTCTAGGAAGAGCGACCCTCGCTTCAGGCAGTGGTGTCAGAAGCCACTCGGGACTCGCTACAGGCGCCCAGGCGAGGAGGCTGTGCGTAGGCCCCGTGCTACCCTTATCGCCGTAACTGTGCTGTTTCCTACTATGGATCAGCAAAATCTAGCTATGGAGGTTCAGAAAAAAAGAGATCCTTCAGTGCGTTCTCAATATGAGATGGATCAGGACAAAAAGCAGCAAGGCAGAACCCTCTCCTGGGCCGCACCCCTGAGCACCCCACTGTTCCAGGAGGCGACTTTAATGTATTCTGAAAAGCGAATGACCACAGGCTTTTCCTCAAAAGAGAGGAGAATAAAACTCTGTCCGTTAGTAATGTATTAAGCTTAAGAAAAATGAAAGATTTTGTAAAAAGCCCACTTGCTAACGTGAACAGAGTCATCTTTGGAAATGAGAAAGCAAGAGATTAAAAGTAGAATCGTTAATTACCTTGAACTATGACTTGAGCAAAACCAAAACTTACCTAATGACAAAATTAATTTAATTTTAGTAGTAGAGGAAAAAGCAGACTAATACAATGGCAAGGAATTTAATTTGATAACTTAATTACCATTCAACTATTTTGGATAACAGAAATTTAGGAGTTTCGAACACTTCATTAGAAAACACTGAAGTGCTAAAGAAAAAAGGGAAAAAGAGCACAGTTAATGTCATACTTCTTTTAAAAAGACTTCCAGCCTCTACTAACTACAGTTTGATGCTATAGGGTTTTTCTAGAAACTCAATGATGAGATTTATTATACATTAGCATAAACACACAGGACATCATTGGAAGTCATGTAAATAAGTTATGAAGCAGAGAAAACAAAAAGGAAACAAATATTTTAAGTTTCCTAAAATACAACAAATAAATTGTGTATGGGGTTGGGGAGGGAGGCTGGGGGAAGTACAGACGCTGCTTATTTTAGCACTGGTTTCATGGAACTGGTCAGAGCAGAAGCATGAACAGAAACCTGGATAACAGCAGTAGTATTTTAACCTTAGCTTCTTGGAACTGGCTTTCACAGAAGAGTTCACACATCCCCAAGATCTGGTAGGTCTGTACTCACTTCTGTGCATGGACACAGGTAAAGGAAAATAGATATTTTACCCTCTTAGAAAATCATCATCACACCTATGCAAATCCCACGAAGCTGGAAAAAAGGGTGACCTGGCCTAGGTCCCAAAGGATGCACTCAAAAGGGTTTTGCTGCAATGCAATGTGTCCAGTGATGCTGTGTGGAAAATGTGTTGGGTTGCTGTATTCTTCCCGAGACATCAAGCAACAGTCTGGTTTGGTCGGCAGCAAAAAGAAGAGCCCAACTTCTAGTCATCGAGAAATGAAGCTACTGGTGGTCTAGAGAGGACACCAGCGACCTCAAAACTGAAGCCTACGGAACTGTGGGAGTTTTTGGCAAGGGACAACGACAGTTTGTCCAATGTAAGTAATGAAGAGACAGAGCGAGAGCAGCCATAAGCCTGATGTTCCAAAACATTACATCTGCATGTGCGTCACTGGAGAAAGTGTACCAAGAAGCCATGCTAATGAAATTATCATGGCGGCACTATGGTTAAACAGTCGTTTCTTAAATCACAAGACTGTTTGGAAGTTTAAAGGTCTGCCAATATTTATGTATATTTCTTATGGTGCTAATGAAAACCAAACTACTAAGTTTCTTTTCTAAATCACGTTGAAATTTTTGTAAAGTTTTAGAAGAAAAAACCTTTTCAGTTTAACAAAGATAAATGTTTTTTTAAAAAATAAAAAATGCCTGTTATATTTGCTTTTTTCTCTCATTTTATGAGTTTCAGTCACAGTTCAGTTATGAAAGTTGGAAAGTAGGAAGTATTTTCTTACTTAGAGCAACAATAAAAAAAGGTCAAATGAGTCGAGAGGTGGACAGGACCGTCTGTCTGCATGCAGGGACGGGTGGGACTGAGGAGATCCATGGTTTAGACAAGAGCAGCCAGACCTCCAATCCGGCTCTCTGGGCTTCAACTGTGTGCAATGGACTCAACCATATCTTTGCCTTCTGACTTTCTACAGTGCTATTTTAAATATAGGTGGCATTTAGAAACTTACATGTAAGATAAATTTTTACATATTATATATGATAGATAACTGTTTACTGAACACAAAAGAAAAAAATAGGCTCAATTATCTTTTCTCCTTCTGAAGCTTTCAGTGAAAGGCTACCAGACTGATTTAAATATCTCTTCTTCACTGTGATAGTTAGTTGAAACTTGATTTGTGGGTCAAAAAGAGGCTCACAAATCTTGACTAGCACTATACACGGTGGTTTCTATGAAAAAAGTAGTAAATTATTCCTGTTTCAAGGATTCTCAAAAGATGAGTTTTGAAGTAAATACCTCTGTAACCGACTGCTGTGAGTTATCTCTAAAGACAAAGGAACAGCTTGTGTGAAAACTGGGCAAAGTGGTACTAGCGAGGACCAGGGCCACAGGAGCCCGCTAGTCCATTACTATAACTTTATTCATAAAATAAATGTGCATGGGCAGTTCTGTCTGTGCCTTTTGGGAATAAGGAACTAAGCTTACTCTGAATGCCTATGAAAAAAAACCTTTAAGGAAATTATTTCAGAAACTTAGGGGTCCCCTGTTAGGGACATATTGTTCACAACACAGTTGCATGGGTTTTCCCTCCTCCCCTGTAGATTATATTTGTAACATAACAAACCTCCAACCTTAATGACCAAAAGGTGCAAAAGTGTTTTCTTAATTGTATTTGTTGATTTAAGAGTAATTTTCAGCTGTGGAAGACTCATTTCCCTCCCTTCATTATAATGCAAAAGCAGTGTCTAGGATTTTAAAGGCTTGCTTTGGTAGGCCTGTCATGAATAGGCACCCCATTTCACTCAAATGATACTCCTTTTTAGAACCATCTATTACTTAGAATTTTCCAAAGTTTATGCTTTTACTTTCTAGGAATTCAAAAGAATTTTTATTGAAATCACTTTAGGGCCAGGGATTTAGCTCAGTGGTACCGCACCTGCCTCACAAGTGCAAGGTCCTGAGTCCCATCCCCGGTACGAAAAAAAAAAAAAAAAAAGAAATTGCTTGGGCCCGGGGATTTAGCTCAGTGGTTCCCTGGCCTGCCTCACAAGTGCAAGGTCCTGAGTTAGATCCCCAGTAACAAAAACAAATTGCTTTGGAATTTGCTACTCCAACTAAGCAAGAAGTTGCTCAGTTTTTGAAAACATTACTGCATTTATCTATTCTAGAGGACTTAAAAAAACCCTTTAAACATAGCAGTAAAAGTGATATAAAATAGCTAAGGCCAGTGGTGCAAACCTGTAATCCCAGCACTTGGGAG